TACTGATTGCAGTGGAACTTGCAAGTATATCCCAGTTCTAAACATTTTTTAGTCAGAAGATAAGCTACCCAGAGTTCAGTGGAATTTATGCCCAGGTAACCATACAGAGGATTTGAGGGTTTAGGTTCAAGGCACCAATCTATTATTTAGATATATATTATTATTCTGCAAAGCTCCCAGTATACTTTACAAAAAAGATTAACAAAGCTATAACAACAAAATATTCCATAATCACCTGGTTTTTACTGCTTGTATATTACTTCTTGTTCTTCTATCAATTTGGTTTTACGTCTCTCTGCTTTTACCATGTTTAAAATTGTATGTTATCATGTTATTATTGTGAGCTTCTTAAAGAACTATACAACTGGTTGGTCAATATATCTATCCTATACATTCCTAGATGTACAGGACTTTAAAGGTAAGCACCAGCATCTCAAATTGTTCTCTCTTTTTCACCCCACTTCTTCCCCTCCTTCACTTTCTGGTGGCCTTCCTAAGCTTGGTGATCTCCAGATGTTTTGGACTACAATTCCCAGAATTCTTTAACATTGCTGGCTGAAATTACTGGAAGTTGAATTCCATAAGATCCAAAGAACACCAATTTCAGGAAGGCTTCATCAGAGTGAGGAAAACAGGGTTTGAGAGAACCAACAAGTATGCTGTCACATCAGTACTGTACTATGTGTACAGTTGTTTCTATAGCTGTAAGAGTTGTGGTTATGCAAACAAGTTATGTGTTTTTGCTTAACAAGCTCAGACATTCAAATATGATGGAGGATGCAATGAGATCCTCAACACAGTTGCGGGGGGAGGGGGCTTAGCTCAGTGGGAGAGCATCAGAGGCCTGGTCCCAAACTTCTCATTAAAAGCCTCTCCTGTAACAATGATTGTAGCCTAAGAGATGGGCCAGTTACTGTAAAACTGGGTTAGACCAACGGATGATGTGATTTGGAATGAAGACGCTTCATGTGTTCATAGTATTTTCAGCTGCCACAGCAGAGGCAGTTTTACAGAATGGCTACTAGGGCTGGAGCCCCAAATCTCTGAGAGGCCGTTCTGCCTCACCAATCTGCTGTCCAGGGCCAAGTGCTGAAAGATAGGTGCAGGGGTCCGGATGATGCCTTTTGCATCTCAGCCCCCTGGATTAACTGGCTTGTTGCCCACATGCACTCCACCTCCAACCCCCCAACCCCGATTTGTCCTGCCTTAAGATTTTTCCCGAAATCAAATCCCCCCTCCCCTACATCACTTTTTACAAGCAGAGATGCCATAGGAGACATCTTTTAGCTACAGACATGTTAAGGCTTTTGTGTTTTGTTTTGTTTTTTGCGGGGGGAGTGTCTTGTGGGCCTTTCACACAAACCATTCTTTTTATTCCAAGGTTTTTTCCTTTCATTAGTACAATTTAGGGTCATGTTGTAATTGCTACTGATAAATGATTGAGTGTCAGATATCCTTGTTAATCTACTGCAGATCACTTGGAGATCCACCAATAAATCCAGATCCAGCTTTGGTTCACCCCTCCTTTAAATTCCATGCCCAAAGACAATAGAAGAGTAGAAGAGTTGGAAGGGGCCTATAATGCTACATAGCAGCCTTGTAAATAAGCTTGAAAAATTACTGTCCTTCCTTTTCTTACATAAATACTCATCTGCTAAGCATCTGTATTTTCATGAAGACTAGAAAAAATGGGAAGTCCCCCTTTCTGCAGTTAGTACATAAATGCAGGCTTTGAACAAGTTAATATTTAAAATTCCTTCTACCAAGGCTTTCATGTAGCCATGGCTAGTACAGAATATAAGTTAACTCACCTGCATTATATTCTTGATTGCCTGTTGCCACTAAGCCACTTGTAAAATACAAGGCTCGTTTCTAGTTACCACCCACTAACTTTGACCACTGTCTTTCTGTGTCTAGGGTTTATTTCTTCCTGCTAGTTTTATAAGTTCAATCATGTATGTGTCCACATGCAAGTAAGTCTCATGGAGTTCAATGGTACTTGCCGGTAAGTGTCCATACGGTGCAGCATTATACATTTACTACAGTGTAGTGTGTATAACTCCAAAAATAAAGCACCAGCTTTTCTGTGTATAAAAAGTCTTGCTAAATATAGGCTAATGAAATGATGTTTCTAATCAGAGCAATACATCAACAAAGAAACTAATCTCCAGTTACAGTTTTACATTCCTAGATTATTAAAAAAAATATCAGTGATTGAAATAGAGAATGTATTTGCATTGGTGAAAACTGAAACCTCATTGTTTTTTCTAGAATATATCCTCAGATCATTTTAAAAACATTGTATATGAATGCTTGCATAGTACCAACATTTGACACTGCATATAAAAAGCAGAACAACACAACTTTCCCTTCAATAATTTACATGCATGCAGTCCTTAAGTTTATAGTAGGCAACTTTTAAACGTGTCTCACAGACCTAGAAATTCTTCTACATTTTGTGTTCATGAACTGGAATAAGTAAAAATTATGTATGCACTTTGAAAGGTGTTGATTTCTGCTTTATGCTAAATGTGTCAAAATAAAATTGAGCAACTGGGGACAGGAAGCATAATTGTAATTATTATTTCTGTTTCTTGGGTAGAAGATGGGGGTTCCACTTATTGTTTGTTATATTACTTATTTTAAAAACTCAGCAAAACAGTGTAAGAGAAATAATATGTCTAATCTTTTGTGCACAAGTGATAGTATTGTCGAGTCTTTCAGTTTCGGTTTTAAACCTGTTCTAGATGTGTTTGTGTAATTTAATCTCTGCACTACACCTCTGATTGGCTTTTATTTCTATTTTATATTGCAGTTTTAAACTTTCATAGTACATCCTATGTTGATTTTATGGTTTTAGATGTTGAAAGCTCTGAGAGCTTTGGATAGTGGGCGGTATATGAAATATAATTAATAAAAATAAATACAATATCTCTGAGATCCTCACTTGTTTTCTCTACCCTTAAATAATTTTCCTAATAAATCTATAGAGCAACATGTGTTTTTCACCTACAGTTCTCTTTCATTATTATATTTTCCTCTCTTCTACCTATAGTTTTTGCCTCTCCTGAGCAATTAATCATTTGGACTACATATACAGTGGCTCAACCAGTGGACCAGTGGCTCAAAGGTGAACTACGTCCACCTCAACTGAACTGGAACAGCAGGTCTTTTGCAATGTATAGCAGTACCACGCAACACAATTAAACACTCACACAATTAAACAGATTAAGAGTCACACAGTGACTATTGCTAGTACCAAAGAGTACTGAATTGATTCTTCTCAGCTTGTCACAGATATGGCTCCAACACAAACATCTAGGATTACAAATAATTCGTTTAGGGAAAGCATTTTTGTAAGATATGAGTGCATCAGTTCCTTATATTTTGTTTTAGCTCTACATGAACAAGCTTGTCAAACCACATGCACCAAATACAGGGCATTTTATTTTCTGTACTACCCAGTAGCCAGAGCCCTCACATGCTGCTGCCCAAAGATCAATACATCCAAAAAACAGACCCCTGCTGGTTGCATAGTGTGACTTGATGCCTCTTTTATCAGCCCCAGAGACCTTCTCTATGCCAGAGAAAGGACTTTTCTGTGGCATCACCGTACCTGTGGAACACCTACCCCAAAGAATCGTGCTTAGCATCTATTCTAGTGCTGTTTAGGACATTAGAGAAGACTCTAAGCTCTTCTTTGCCTTTGGTTTCACATACTTTTTAAAAAGGTCAGTCTTTTCATTCTGATTTTTAACTCTGACCATTGTTTAGAACAGATATGATAATGTTTGTGTGGTTGGCAATATTTTATGATACTTCTTTTTATTACCATCTGTTTTGAACATCACAATGTGGAAAATAGGATTCTCTCTCTCTAAGAAATAAACAAACACATTACTAAATAACAGGTGCACTATAGAGAAAACACCTTCAGGTGACTTGAGCAGGTGAAACATGCTGCACAATTCACTGGAAAAACAAGCCCCCCCCCCCCCCCGCAGGGTCTCTAGCCAGTTTGGCCTGTAGTGGGAGGGGAAAAGATTAATTCCTGATCCCAAAACATACCACTTAGGATTTCCAGGCAACAACCTCACCCATCCAGGTTTCTTTCATAGGAAAATGTTCAGCTATCACAGGTACAAATCAGAGTAATCTCATATTTTATTTTGGTTTTTTTAAACATTCACCTGGGGACTCTCTGGTGGAATTTTCCCGAACTTTGCCCCCTACCCTTTTCAAACTGGTCCTTCACACGTTCTGTCCCTCCACCCTCCAGTGTTTAAGGCTTCCAGCCTCGGAGGGACATCCCACTGTAGCCACCTCACAAGCCACTCAGCCGGCCTTAAAAACGGGCAACTGGCTCCTGCATTACCGAAAAAGTGAAGAAGTCGGACTGACAGATATCCAGAGGATTTTCTAATGGTGTCCTCCCTCCAACCCATCATCAAATCACAGCTCGCCTCTGTGCCAGAAAGACCGATGATTACATGTGACCCAGGCCTCCACACGTGCATACACATGGTTAATAGGAACCATGAGTAATTCCTCTGTTATTAAGCGATTTCCTGCCTTTGGCAGCTGTCTCGGCTTTCTCACAACGGTGGATATGCATGAACCGAAGGCAAAGAAACACATCACGGTTTGATTTTTAAAACAAAACCAAAAAAGGAGTCTCGGATCAGAATCCTTTCTGAAAATCCCAAGAACTATCTTTAAAAGGAATAAGTTTGAGGACATCCTAATGGGCAACGGCTATTCTCTAAAGGAAATCAACACCGGCCACTCCTCACAACACACGCAATACAACAGCCCGCAATGAGAGCCACAGGTCCTGTTTTTTATATAATTTTTAAGGTCTCATTCCCCCCTCAAGCCGTACGGAAGGCATTCAGGAGCCCTCTTTGAAAAGGTGCCTAGAAACAGAAACAACTCGTTCTTCGTTTGCTGACGTCTCTAAGTTTCTCTACTCCAGAGCTACAAATCAGAGCTCTACTTACTTCACTCAAATCTCCGGATCACTCTTTTGTTTGTCCTTCCCCTCGTTCTGTCTTCGGAGAGCCCCCCTCTTAGCTTCTCACCGATTATTCTCTCAAATCACCTTGTTTGTTTCTGTAAATGAAGTTGTTGTTTTCCGAGGAGAAGGGCTGAGCTGGGCTCTGCGCGGTGATCTGCTGAGTTGTAATATGAGTTTCCTGGAATTACTCACTCACAGGATTCTTTTCATTCATAAAAACACAGTCATGCGATGACATCATTCTTTCCCCTCCCTCTCCATCTTGGTGAAGGGCACAAGCAGGAGAGAGGTGAAAGGAAGCTGCCATCTTGGTGCTGGGCATTTGTTTTTAAAGAGACCTCCTCCTAAATATTTTGCTGCTAGTTACCGCTTGCTTTCAGAGGCCATCGTAAGCTGTTGCAGCAAAGAAATAACGTTTTTGAGGAAATCAGAAGATGCCAGATGCACCACTACCAAACATAATTTAGACATCTTATTTTGAAGATAGGGACGCTTATAGATGAGTGAAGGGGATAAGCAACTTGGAACATTTGCACCAGGATCCTTGAAGCAAAGTGCCCTCACACATACAGTTAGCCAATTGCGCATCAGTGGCCCCGCTACATTACTCACCAAAGCTTCAGACACACACCAATCTTTATAAGGAAGCAGAAGCAACAGGGCCTCCACATTATATGTGCTCTAAACCTCGTAAGCTTCCGGATAGGCATGCTTTAAGAACAGTTTCCTATTTCTAAAGTCACAATCTTCTACTTTAGCCATTTACACCTGTGTGATAAGCAGAAACATCAACAGGCTTAGCTCCTCCTGTTTTCATGTTGGGAAAAGCTTAACTGGTTGACTTGTCTGCCATACAGTCCTTAGAGCATTACAAGGACATATCAATTTCTGTGATACTGTTTCAAAAGTTTCAGGATAGTGCCAATACTCCCTTTACCAGGGGCTGTGCTAGGTTCAGGGTTCAGATCCCCAAGAAAAATAATTTCCACATACTAATTTATATATGTTCTAAAATCTGCATGTGTGTAAAGGACTCTGCCTGCCAAGGACACCCCTACTTGTGAAAAGGGATGTATGGACAGGAGAGGGCAGGGCATTTGATTCCAGGAAAAAAAAAAAAATGAAGCAGACATATTTGAAGGGCATCAGGAAGTGAAAAACATGGGCAGAAAACCAACTAATCCAGGGGGATTGGATGAAACAGATTTTCAGGGCTCTATACCTTTCTTTCAGCAAGTGCCCAAGAATAGCAGAAAGGTGGAGTGGATGCCCTCCAAGAGATTCAGGGCCCCAAGAAAATCTTCAGTGTGCCGGCCCAAGTGGGCAGCTACTGATACTATCTGTTGTTTACAAGAGAGCACACAGGAAATTTGTTTTGTCTTTGTAAGGTCTGCTTTATTTACAAATATACTAGTAGAATGTCAGAAGCAATGGAGCTGTCCTATAGAAGACAGCAAGTCCATTGATCTTTGCATCAGATTCCTGGAGTGCAGCTGTTGCTGGCAGCTCACTACCCATCTAAACTCTTGGGTGGAAGACTAAACTTGAACTGCCTGCTGTTCTCTCTCAGCACACAAACAGAAGCACACTTGCTCCCAAGACCACACCACCCTGCAGGTGAATTTCCCATTCTTAGAACCACAATTGACATTTTGTTCTTGACCACACACAGGTATAAACTTCTTGGGGGATAAAATTAGAGAGGAAGATACTTTCCCTACAGCCAGTGTGTTTAATTGCTTCTGAGTAAAAACCCTTAGGGCTGAGCTGTTATTAAATGTCATTTCCAAGGGCTTGAAGTGAGGAACAAAAGTTAAAACCAAAATTACACAGAGTGTACGTATTTGTTTAATTAAAGCTGTGCCTACAAATTCCTGCTGGTTGAATGTCAGCTGAAGGTGGAACATTTTGTGAAAAGTTTTTCTTTTCAGTTCTGGTTCATACTGTGACAAGTCAATGAGGAAAGAAAGCACAACAATGATGGTTCAGCTTCAAAGAACAGTTTTTTGCATGGCTATTTTTGCTGGTTCATGGATGATCAAGATTAAGATAGCCACTTAAGCATCAGCAAAAAACAGGAAAGAATCACCAAAAAAGACAAAGGAGAACAGGCTTTTGCAGAAATGTTGCAGGTATACATATAGAAGCAAACTGAGAAAATAAATTGAAATAGAAATACAATACATCTCACCTTGGTGGGAAAGAATGAACAGGTGAGCTGCCTAGATGGCCATTACCGATGGGAAATTTCAGCACCTCTTCTGGGTCATCCTCCTGATGTTTCCTTATCTTTAAACCAGACTTGGGCTCCACAGTCCTTCAAATAGAGCAACATTCCCTAACCTGGTGCCCTCCAGCTGTTTTAGATTCCAATTCCCAGAATTCCTAGTCACTGGCTGAAATCAACATGGGGCACCAAACTGGAGAAGGCTGAAGTAGACGATGCCTTCTGTTCTCTGTATATGACCAACTTTGTCAAGATCAAGAAGCCATTCTCAGTAGAGCAGATCTCAGTCATCACAATGGCATAAAAGATTTTCTCTGAGTTATTTAGAACCAAGCTGTGAGGGTTTTCATAGGTCTAACCCAACATGTTGAATTGTGCTGAGGACACCTTCAGAAACCTGCACAGTGTTGAAGCACTTGTGCAATGCACCCTCTATGCCCTCCAACAGCAAGAAAGTGGGCTACTGTTTCATGCTGGAATAATATCAAAGGCAGCCAAATGTGTCACAGTACTCAAGGTTGCCAAGATACCAATAGAATTGAGTCCCAAGGACAAAGGCTGAGCTTAGCTTGCACGAATTTGTAAATAGAAGGGATCACTAGTTAGTTACAATTACCAGGTATATTTATGTATTGGTTTTATATTTGTATTCCAGAATATAGCAGCAATTAGTAATGTTCTCATTTTACAAGACTGTTATGGGGAATTAGTTCTACAGTTTCATGCCTCAGCACAGAAAGGCATTCTTTCAAAGTACTGTTCATTTTTTAAAAGCTGGTATTTTTCCCCTCAAAATATTTGTAGAACTCAAGTGGCATTTTATCACATCCTTTTATGTTCAGGCCTTTTGAGAATAGTAAGACAGCAGAACATCACTTCCAATAGCCAGACTTCCTGTTCTGATAAACATTTTATAAGGAGAGGAAGAGGATTGAAGCAAGAAGCCACTTTGGTATCTCACAGCCTTATCAAACCACCACCCAGTATGTGTAAGCAGGAAAAGGAATTGTACCTATCCAGGTTAATTACTAATTTTCCAGATTTGAACCCAGGTCTGCCTTACCTCTGGACAAGCCAAATAAAATGTTTTGAAACTGGCCCAGCTGGTTCTGTTCACTGTTATCAGGCCAGGTAATTTTTTAAGTTTAGTTTCACTCTTACATAAACTTTCAGATTGCATGGAAGTGAGCAATGGATTATTTGACAAGTAGAGAAGAAATTTTAAAAAATCTTGGTTCTTTATAGCCCATGTATACTGAAAGCAGACTATAATCTTAATTAAGAGCTAACTTAATTAGAATCATGATGACACACAAAATCATGTTCCACTAAATGTGCATAAAAACTCACCCTTTTTACCACAGTCTTATTAGGGGTAGAAGCAAATGGTTAAACTGTATTAACAGCTAAATTGTATTAACAATTTAATGGAAACTGGTCTGTGTTAATTGATCCTGAACTCACTTTAAATATAATCCAACTCTTCCTCTTCGTTTAAGCTATTTATAGCTGGAACCTGGTTTTTCTGTATCTCTGATGATATTTAGTAATTGAAAGCCATGAAAATTAGGTAGTGGCACTGGTAGTCAGCAATGTTCTTATTAATATTTATATTATAGACATTCATTAATATTATTTGCAACTAAATTATATAAGTAGTAAAAATGTTTCACCTCCACTGATTCAATTCATTGATTTTAGTGTACCAATCTCAGGACTGCAGAGAGGAGATCATAGTCTTAAAATACTTAATTTCTTATTTTAAAGGCCACCAATTGCTTCTGATCCTGAAAGTAGTATAGTGAAATGTGCAACTATAAACAAGGTCAGAAATAAGGAATAGATCAGAAAAAGGCAGTTTTAAAAATAAATATGCTATCATTAACCTAATCTTGTATCTATTTACTCAGAAACAAATCTGATTTAACCATAAGAAAAGCCTGGATTTTACATAAAAGATTCAAGTTTAGATGCACCTGGAAGCTTATAAACAGACAATGAAGCCATTACTTATTTGACCTCAGCAGCTGGTGTACTAGCTTTTGCCTATGAAGTCTCCTTTTAGTTATAGCCTTTAACAAGATTTCAGTGTGTGGATTAGTTATTAGTTTGTGCTTCAGTGGCTTTTCAGTGTCTTTATCCCAAGTAAATGTGCATAGGCTGTATCTTAGGAATTTGACTCATTACAGTTCATCTTTTGGGGTCGGCAGATGTCCTAATTGCTGTGCTATTTCTACCTTTGCAGAACAAGATTTATGCTGCAATCCTATACATTCTGAGATGTGCCACTAACTTCAACAGAACTCACCCCCAGGTACACGTATGCATGCAAAATGGCAACTTTGGTGTTGATGAGAGGGGATGCTATTAATGATACAGATGCTGATACTTTCCCTGTACGTCATACTAGAACATCAGCCTTCCCCAATCTGTTTGATCCCAATGTGTTGGACGACAGCTGCTATCATTCCTTAGTCAGTTCTCTTGGCTGGAGATGTTGGGAATTGCAGCCCATCCCATCTGGCAGGAGCTAATTTATACTGTCTGAAGCTCTGGAATACGATTACCCATTCCCTTCTAAGGACCCTGGTGAATAGTGGTCGTCTACCTCCTTCTCTTCCCTTTTTTAAAAAAAATATTAAAGACCCTGTATTCAACGTTTCAGTTAAACTGCCTCTTTAAAAGTTGACGGAGGGCAAAACCGAAAGAACCATTTACGACTTCTCCCCTCTATAAAGATGGCAGCCACGCTCAATCGCACCACTCTCTGCCCAACACAAAGATGGCCTCTTTTGCTCCTCCTCATTAACGTCAAGACGTAATCGGCGAGCGCACGCAAGTATATCGTCTTACCACCTCGATCCTGTGGCTCGCCAAGCGATGAGTTGGTAGATTAAGCGGTAGGGAGGAGTCGTCCGCACAGATTTTGATTAGTAGAGTGGAGGCCACGTGATTCTATGGACCTTGTTGGCGGAAGTAGTAGCTGGGTGAGTAGTGACTAATTGAAGAGGTGGAGGAGGGAAGCGCGTAGAGGAGAGAGCAAGGTGATGCGTATGTGAGACTCTTCGTCCCTCGCTCTTAAATCGTGGATCCTGGTTGTCTCATAAAGGCGAGGATGACCAGATGCGAGCGGCTCCTCTCTCTGCTGCATTCTCTGACTGAGGAGGGGGCAGGAAGAGATCTCCAGATATTTTTGACTAACTCCCAGCATTCCTGAGTATTAGCAATGCTGGTAGTGGTTTCTGGGAGTTGAAGCCAAAAACATCGGGAGGGCACCAGGCGGGGGTACCTTGCTCCGCGTGAGCAGAACTTGTTTGTTCGCCGTGTTGTAAGCCTGTTTTGTGCTACAGGCCTGTAAGATTTGCTTTTGTGTTTGATTAGAGTCTAGAGATCATCAACATAGGAAGCTAGAAACACATGAAATTCAGTTGGACCACAGGTCCATCGTGACTACAAGTCTTTTACCGGACTACAAGTGCCAGGTGCAAAATAGTGACTGAGCAAGGGAAATAGAAGTTATGAATTAAGGAAAGTGCTTGCTGAGGCTAAGCATGAGTGATGCCTAGGTAAGTGCACATGTCCTTTCACACACAAACACATTCCTGAATTTTCTCAAATATTGCCCCCCCCCACCCCCGGTAATTAGTTAGGAATCTTTGGCCATTATTTTGCTAATGACTTGGAATGCAATCTTAGCTTTCCAAATTCAGGGGACTGCAGACAACTAATGCAGGGTATGAGAAGCATGGGGGCAAAGGTTGCCTCTGCACTCGCCTTGCCTTGCAGAGCAACTAGATAACTAGTGTCTGTTAGCTACTATACTTCAGAGCAGGTGGGAAAGGAGGTTGAGGTGCTGTCAGGATAGGTTGTATCTTGGTGGTGCCAGTCTCCTCCTCCCATCCTTGTTTTCTGGAGCTCCCCCTAAACTGCATCTCTGAGTTTGCTTTTGCAACTTGGGAAAAGCAAGCACCACATCACAATGTGATGTGGTGCTTTCCACACTGACTACTGGAGGAGGGAGGGCAGTCTGAGTGCAGAGTCTCAGCTCTGATGACAGAGCGATTCCGTGACATGGGAGTTGGAACTTCAAAATAGTCTGTGATTCACTCAAAGCTGTCTAGGGGCTATAGGATTGCACCACTGGAGTTCTACCAATAGATTCCCATTTATGTTGTCTCCTTTCCTGCCTGTTGGAGAGGAATAGTTTTGAGGAGGCAGCAGTGTGGGCACTTTGGAGCTCAACCTGTTACTTCATGCACTAGATAACTATGAAGAAAAGAGCAGGGCAAGTGGAAATATTAGTGCAGGAAAATACCATGTCTTGCTGCACTCCTATTCCAACTTGAGGCAATTATAGTCTTTCCTGGGAAGTAACAAGGTTGGGTTGGTAGAAGAAATAAAACAGAAATTACTCTAAAAATTCCAGCTACGCTTTTCAGACTATTTTTTTTCCATTTTTAGAAGCTTTATTATTGAATTGACTTTCTGTTCCCTTTTTCCCATGTACATATATTCATTATTGAGTGGGTGAAAGCTGTTTTACTTGCCTTTTTTGTCATCTGGAAGTGAAACTATAAAAAGGAAAGTCTGAGTTTTAAAAGTGTTGAGCATATTTATTTTATCACATTGTGGTTTTTTAGGCTCCAGGCTAACTCATGGAGCAGAAGTTAGTGAAGAAAATAATGTGAACCCTGTGTATAGTTTATAGTGTGCCACAATTGCCTAGGCACACACAGTGAAATAAACCTATGCTAGGAAAGTGCAGTTGGTTGTGGTTTGCCACTGTGTACTCCTCATGAGTGCATAGCACCTGTGTTCACATGTTACTTTAAGCTAGACAGTCTGTTCAGTCTGACTATCCCAAATATTTTTTTACAATAGGAAATAGACTAATGGTTCCCATGACAAATGGGAGAAAATCTGCCATCTTTTGAGCCACAGGCAATTTAAGTGGAGCTCACCATAAGAAGTCAAAAGGTATGCTTTTTCACAACCAACTTGGAGCCTTCAGTGTCACAGTTACCCTTGCGCAATGGCCCAACATTTTGATAAAATTACCTACTAAATATTTTGCATTGTGCATATTAGCCATCTGATTCAGAGCAGCACCAAGTGTATGGGCCATACAAGGAATATAACTGGCAAATGTTTCATTCTGCCCCATGTGGTCTGAGTTACTTGACTGACGTTTAACATAGAGATGAAGGGAGAAGATGTGTGTGCCTCATAGGTGTGGTAATCTAGGCAGAAATAGATGTGATGGTTGCAAAGATGCCAAGTGGATGCTTTCTTGCTGATGTGACTATTTACTGGAATACTATTTAATCTAGGTTTGTAGCTTGGAAGGAAGATCTCCAGCACACACAACTCTCCTGTTCCTTTAAAAGGCCTGAAGGCACAATGGCATCTCTGGTCCAAATTGTCCTGGCTGCTTAGGTGCTCAAGCAAGGAGAATTAAAGGAGAAATGGAACAAGATTATCCATCCAAATAACCTGCAGAATATTGGTTGAAAGACAATTTCATAGTGGAGAGGTCCAATCTAATGTCCCAGATTGCCTGATGTTCTTGAGATCTTTCCCAATGCCATATCTTACAAAGGTTTGTGTAGTACTTGGGGAGAAGAGAACAGAGCTGTGGTTATGCTGAACAGATGCATTCAGTTAATGGCATTGGCATAGTCAAAATGAGAGTGTTCAGTCCTTGTGCAGCACCAAAAATCTTCCCATTTGGTTATTTCATAGAGACATGCAGTTCTTTGGTCGCCTTGTGAACACATTCAACAATGTCACCAATTTGTTTTCAAACCCCTACCGGGTGAAGGAGGTATCCTTGGCAGACTATGCATCTCGGAAACAAGTGAAGTGGGAAGACAGAATAGTCTTGTATGAGAACAGCTCAGCTCATTCCTGGGACTGCCTCCTCATTAACCCTCAGAATCAAACAAATGCCTTCCGGTGAGTGGCAGAGGCTTCTGTATTTTTTCTTAAATTCTTGCGGTAGAGCTGAGAGAAATATGAGAGAATAGATTTCCCAATGCCTCATTAAAGGATTATGGTACAAAATTGTTTCCTTGAAAGAGAGGGTAAAATTGATGGTGGATTGAAAGGCAAGCAGAGAATATATCTGCTAGCCATTGCCTGGTGGCCATAGGCGACCGGGGAGTTCATGCAGTCGAGTGAGTGCGCTGGCTTCTTCCAGAGTTATTCAGCAGGCAAGGAGCTCTCTGAGGAGGTCTGGCTTGCTTTCTCTATAGAAGCTAGTTCTTTTTCGCTTTGCTTTGTTTTTTACTGCCATGCAGCTAGTAGCCTGTGCTTTTATGCTAGTGGTCTCTTGGCAGGCTCATAAATCCACAGAATAAATGTTGGGGGGCTTTTTATTTCCTATTTTTCTGCCAAAAGGGACCCTCAAGGTGATTGAACATAAAATCCAGATTAATAACTACATCTTAGTTAAAGCACAGCATCAAAATAATTGTGCTTTTTATTGATTTGTTTTTAAGGCCAGAATATACAGCAGTGAATATACTGTACTGAAGAAGCATGGTAATAAGGTTCCTTGTTCCAAGAATAGCACGTTTTGAGAGAAAGAATAGAGTGTGGAGATGTCATTGACTTCCATCCTCCATGGAACCTTTTCCATGTATCTGGAAAGAATCAGCTCTATCCCCTGTTGTTGTATTTCCTTTATTTAGGATCAACTGTTGGCAATGCACTCTATGGAACTGCTCTTGAAGATGACTTCGAATTTCAAGCAGAGCAGAATGTCTCACTTTGTCTTTTGTGTAACACTCATGTGCATTGCATTCTGTGTCAACTACACTGAACCAAACGATTATCTTCTGAATTCAATTTGCCGATTTTAAAAGCACAACTGTAAAAGCTTTTGCAGATTAAGACCTAGTGACCTGGTTCATACAACATGAGAAGCCAGAATAGGGGTTAAGTATTGACTGAATTGTGGATAATTGTGGAATCATGGGTTGTTGTTGAATGTTGGCTATTGTTGCTTGTGAAACCTGCACTGTGGTATAACAATAGCATGTTAAGCACAAATAACCCACAGTTCACTAGCCAACAACAAACTGTGGATATGCTGCATAGGTTGTTTGTGGTTAACAAACCATGGTTTGTTTATTAGTTCAGTTGGGTTCACATGACCCACAATTCATCAGCAGCATACATTTCAGCAGCAATTCATGCTCAAGTCATACTTTAGCTTGTCCTGTTATTGAACCCAATCTATACGTTCCCCCAAATGAATCCTGCTCATGTTCTGTAGGTCAGGGCCTGCTGTATAAACTGTGAATGCTTTTGCTAAGGAACAAGAGCTTTTACTGCAATTATCCTGAGGCTGCGGAATGATCTTCTGGTGAAGTTTGGAATTCTTTTGCACTGCTTTTCAGAGAGCATATCAAGCTCCCCTAGTCCACTGGGGTTTTGTTTACTTAATTCTATATAAATCTCACTGCTGTTAAGAATATTACCTTTTTTACCATTTTGTTAGTGGGATTTGCCTTTGTCTAGTTTAGTTTAATAAGCATTTTAAAATGGTTTTGTGATTAAAACCATTATAATCTTTGCAGGTTACCTCAAGCTTTGGAGAGGCAGGATATGATGCCTTTAAACATATTTCCTTTTTGCAGGCTTTTCCAGATAGATAATGAAGCAGATGCCAGTGAGCACTTTGACCTGTATTCAAAGCAGTTGCGGCCCTTCTATGAGAGCTATCGGGATCCTTTGTCTCTGGAGACTGTGCAGCAACTGACAGACTGTTTCCGAAGCCACCCTAGCTGGTCTCTGGCTCATATAGCAGTAGAGGTTGGTCTTCTGGAGAGCTTCCGACACAATCGCATCTTGAGGTATTCTAATAGGGGTGGGGAGTGCTTCTGATGGGGGATGGTTGGACGTTGCAGATGAATTTAGGGCAGGAATGGGCAGATTTCCATCTTGTGGGGTCTGCTTTGTTTTTTACTAGGACCCCCCAAGGTGCACTCATTGGTGTCAGATGTACAGTGGTAGCAAAGGCCCCTAAGCTGTGGACTGGAATATGAATCTGGGATTTCCTGCTTGCAGTCCAGTGTCGTCTTCACCAGCCTGGGGCCATCCAGAAGGATGTGCTCGTGAAAGAGCGAGCACCCAAACATGCATAGACAGGTTCTTTGAGGGAAAGATGGAGGGTAAAGAGCAGGGACATTTCCTCACCCTAACCCAAGAACTAAGCCCTCTGACAGAGGCACCAAATGTCTTTTGGCCTAAGCATCTGATTCCATTTCAGAAAGGCTGCAATAGTGGGTGAACCAAAGGCAAAAGGTATGGGATCAAATAGCAACATATTTTAGCTTAAAGTTTGTAGGGCTAGTGACTAAGCTTTAGGAAGGTCTTTTCAATCTCTTCAAATGATGGGGAGAGTAAAATGTGCAAAAGTCATGCGATCGTCAAATACTTAATTGGAAGAATGGGCAGGCATCCAGCCAGCTGGGGAACCCAGAAATGTCTGGTTTAGCCTGGCAGGACATCCAGTATGGGCCACCAGGCCTGAGGTTCTGCACCCGTATGATGGACACAACTGTTGGTCTCTCTGTGTGTGCTTTTTGCCTCTAAGCTGGTACCCTTCATAAGGCTGGATTTTGCCTTCATTTCCCTACCATATACCTTGTCCTGTCCACCTTTGTAATTTTTCTGGCTTTCAGTATTCTCTTCAGCATGTAAGGCACTAAATGTTGTCTACACGGGAAGAGCAAAAGAAGTGAACATCAAGTAATGGCATGGATATTTGAAGCTAACGTTTTGACTGGGCTATGATATTCTGGCTGGCTTTGTGCTTGTGCCAGTCCAGCTGCTTACATAACATCCCTCTACTATGTATGTTTCAGCTACATAAACAGCAACAGCTCTGACAATGAATGTACTCCGTTGCACTTGGCTTGTCAGAAAGGAGACCTCGAGTGTCTGCGGGAACTGGTGGAGGAGTGCCATGCCCGTCTAGATCTCACAGACAAAAATGGAGAGTCAGTCTTCCACTATGCTGTCCGAGGAAGCAACCCGAAAATTATAGAGGTGAAAATGTGAACAGCAAGTGTAATTTTCTGCTAGAAGGGAACGGGCAAAGGCAAGAATGAAATGGTATACATCCCACAACCCACATCCCACAACAGGGCATGGGAACTGCTGGAAAGAGGCTGTCAAGTATGTTTGACAGTCTGAGAATGTCTTGTATGTAACCCTCGTGTTCATGAGCACTGTAGGACGGACACGCACGCACGCGCGGTTACTAACCCTGTGGATGCTTCAAGTTTATTTTGCAGTGGGCAAAGATTTTCAGAAATTTATTTCATTTTATTTCTTAAGCTCTCTGGGCAGTGCCCAACAAAATTGTCTATTCATAAACAATAAAAGGAATAGATAAAACAGTTAAAAATTAATCTAAAATAGCAAACATGAAAATACAATTAAAAGACAGCTTTAAAAGCCCAGCCAATTGTAAAAGTCGTCTGGCTAATTGTATGAGACCCCTGAAAATCAGATGTCTATAAAGGCCTCCAAAAATAAGGCTACCTTAACCTGGTGCTGAAAAGTTGGCAAGATGGCCAGGTACGCTGTAGCAAGGTGGTTACCTCTCTAAGTGGATTTTGTATTGGGCCAGCATTTAGGATTTTGATAAAGACACTCACTTAAAGCTAGAATACTTGTAAACAGATAGTTCAAACACATCTGAAAATTATCAGGATGTATCAGCCAAAGATTTCCATTAGTACTAGTAAACTTGTTAAACTCCTTAACAATTTCAATAAGGTGATTGTAATATACACAATTATGAAGATGAGAGACAATAAATAAAATTGGATTATATTCAGATGACATGGTAACTAATAATTAAGAGTGCAATCCAATGGCCACCTAATGTTGTCTGGGAGTGGGCATGGGATTACTTGAAGCCCAGCCTCTGTGGTCCTGCTGGCATGATGCTCTGAAGGCTGAGCTCCAACACTGCCCCCTCACAGCATTGACTGTTTTTCCTGAGGTTCAGATTCACGTTGGAGGGGGAGAAAAGGGGAGTGGGGAGAAGACTGGGGTCAAGGACTTCGGCTTCTGTCAGCATCTTGGCCTCCTTCCCTCCTACTCACTGATTGCTTTATCTGGATGGTTAAGCATGGCTGCCTGGATTGCCACTGCTGTGCGTCCTTCAGGAGACAGGATGCATGCAAGCCTCTGGATTCAGGGTTACACACATCAAGGGCTGTGGCTGTAGGACTGAGCCCTAAGGAGTTCAGAAGATCTCATATCCTTGTTTAGATGGTTAGAGCAAGCATATTAAAAACTTTTAGTAGGGGCTCATACATGAAAATATGAAGAAGGAATTAAATAAGGGTGAGAGTACAGTTTGAAGAAGAAACTAGCTTGAATCAAATGTTGCTTGCTCAAACAACGGTCATGCACAATTGCTCTATCAGAGAATTAACCTGTTGGGGTGGTGGGAAAAATTAAAATGCACCCTGGAAGGGATAAAAGTATTGTCTGCTTCAAGAACTGTGGCATTTCCAATGTACTCTAGATTGTAGATGAGATATGGTATGCATATATTGTATATGTACCATTTAAAAGCAACAGTAGTCCCAACCTGTTCTTGAGGAACCCACACATGCTTCCTCCATTGCACGTTCACATTTCAAAAAGGTTTAGGATATCTTTGACACTGAAGAGCATTCCCTTGGATGAAAGCATCCTGGGGAGCTGTTTGGGTTGGTCGTCCTGGGAGAAGTATGAAGTCTGGCATCTCTAACAAATCTTAGAGATGCTAACCCCAAAGATCTTGTTCAATGTTTCCAGCTCCTGGGCAAGAGGTCAACTGCTGCTCTAGATCACCTGAATGATGAAGGACAGAGTGCTTTGCATCTGGCTTGCCAACTGGGCAAAGAAGAAGTGGTTCTCTCTCTCTTAAAAGTTAATGCCAAGTGCGGTAACCTGGGAGTGCTGGGCTACCCCATCCACACTGCCATGAAACACAGTCAGAAAAAGTAAGTTTGCATTTGCTTCTTTGGGAAAAGGGCACTAAAACTGCTGCTGTTACATATATATTGTGAAAGCCGGTTTGATGTAGTGCTTCGTGATTGACTCTGCTCACTGTGGTAGAAAATTTGAATGTGCGCATAACCTTCTTTCAAAATGTTTTGTTTTAAAATGTTTAAATAATGGTTCTCCTGTATTTTCATATTGGTTATGCTGTGTTTTTTGTTGTGTTATGTTGCCCTGAGATCTTTATTGAATAAATAAAGTGCTAGGAATTATTTTCTGCATGTTCAGTTCTGAACCTGTTGTTGTGCTTTTGAATGTGACTGAAGAACAGAGAATTTTGGGTGAGTGCCTTCTCATTTATAGACCAGGCAATGCCATATTTTATTCAAATGCTGTTGCAAAATTATCTGGATAGGGAAGAAGATGTAAGCTGAAGACCCCATTTTATGACCAGCCTTTTCCATGGGGAATTTTTACGTGCAAATTCCTGCCTAGGAAGCTGCTTCTATGAGATATATATTTAAATATATTTTCTTTGTCAAGAGCTTGAGCAAGGCTGTTTGTGGTGATGGAGAGCCTCTGAAAACTGTGGCAGAAGGGGTGGGCCGGCAAAGTCAGCAGGTCAAGCAGGCATGTTCCAATGCCAAAGTAATAGTCCTTGAAGGTACAGCAGGGCAGTAAGAGGAGTTGGCTTTGGGGCCAGCATAAAGAAAACAATACAGTGAAACCAGCAAATAAGGAAGTTGCAGGACCTGTTTTCTGCATGCAAAAGGTCCCAGGTTCAATCCTTATCATCACCAGGTAGTCTGGAAAATCACCTGCTGGATCCCTGGAGAGTTGCTGTCAGATTGGTCAATACAGTTCAATAATCTAACACAGTATAAGTCTGATTCCTATGTTTAGTTTAAATTTTATTTAATACTTCTATATGTTATGGATTTTTATCTTAATTTTAGTCAGTTTGTTGGCTGTGATGCTGGTGTGTGTGAGTATATTTTGAGGTATTCTATTTTATCTTACCTGATTTTACTTGTTTTAGTGTAATTTATGTATGTTTTTGTGTTCTAGTTTTATAAGCTGCCCAGAGAATCTTCAGGTTATGGGCAGCATAGAAATAGAATAAAATAATACAGCAGTCCAGTATTATAGGGCTGTTGGATTGCATGGCAGAGTCAGCTAGCCTGTAGTCTAGCCTGTTGTCCTAGGAGTTCTCCCCCATCTTGTGCACTTGCTGTTTCGTGGCTGTGATTCTCCTGATGTCTTCTGCTGAGGTGTGTCAGTTACCAGAGCCTTGAAATCAGCCCATACTTCACTGAAGGTGCAAAGGTCCATGGAGTAAACTGGAAGATGCTTGTTACATCTCTTTATTTCCTGTTTGTTCTTTTCCTTCTAGGTGCGCAGCTGTTCTTCTTGATAAAGACATCAGCCAGATTCTATTGGTGGACCCACGGTATGGTGCCACACCCCTCCACTGGGCCAGGAATGCTGAGGTAAGTCAGTGGAATGCCACCTGGACACATGGGACTTTTATTTGTCCTCTCAGTATGTCTCCCTGGGAGTCTTGATTTCTTGGGGATGCCTTTAGGTGGAAATCTTTTCCCACCCCGGCAACCTCCTATCTCCAGCCCTTTTATTTATGCAGGCTGCATAAGGTTCTGCAGGCTGAAGCCATTTCCACAAAGGCAGCTTATATGACTGTGAGGTCAGCGCACATAAAAATGTTTATCTCATGGAAATCGGGTGACATAAAAATACTCCGAAGTGCTCAAGGATAAAAGGGTAGAAATAGAGTAAACACAGGTTTGGGAGGTTCATTGTAAGCCAGGTGTTACAAAGGTGGAAAAAAGCTAGCATAGATTGGTCTGAGGTCAGATTTGTAAGAGCTGCACCTGCCCACTCCTGTCTTCAAGTGTTGCTGTAACTATGGCAGTACAAGGTGGTGGTCTGATCCCAAAGTGATGATGAGCTGGGAGCGTGCTATTGTGTGCTGTTCAGTTGCTTCCACTTGGTTCCTTCTGAAAGCAGGAGTAGCTAAACAAATCATGGACTCTGGCTTGCAGGGTGGGGGAACCCAAACGATAGTTCCCAGTTTGCATATGAGAAGTCTGGGGCTTGTTCACCTGAGGGGAACTGAATGCCAGTAAGCCCACAGAGCCTCTTTGTGTTCCATTGTGGAAAGGGTCTGGCCCGCAAAGTTTATCCACTTGAGTAATCTTCACTGTTAATCTCTAATCTTGATGTGGATGTAACAGTGGGGATTCCCTACTGCACCATTGCAAGGGGAATTCCTGCTGCTGTTTCTGCTCTTGGATCAGAAATAGCAGCAGGGATGCAGGCAGTGAGAGGCTCAGCTGACCTGAGAGGAACCCAGGCTGTGCTCCTGCACAGTATGTATCGCTTGAAGCGAGGGACTTGGTTGGCACTGAGAGGAGCAGGTGTTCTTTCCAATGTGGATCAAGTCCCCTTCTCTGTGCTGAGAGACACTTGGGGAAAGGTGACGTGTATGTCATCTGCTGATGCAATCTGGCCTGCAGAGGGCCAGGGAGAGACCATTCCACCCCCAAATGTTTTGAACCCCTGAGTTGGCAGGTTCCCATTGCAGGAAGACTAAGTGGGAGCAACTGGTCAGCATGCACCAATACATGTAAGAAGACAGGTTCCCAGGTTTTCCATTAAATCCAAAATGGAGCTATTGTGTCCCTTGCAATTTTAAAAATTATTTTAAGTTTCTGCCTTTCCTATGCTACTTCCAGCTAGAATGACTGGCTTCTTCCATATTTCTGAAGTCTTGGTTAAATGGAACAAAAAGGATACTTTGTGTGTGCTCTTATTTTTCTTATAATTTCTGTGTGCATGAGCATCTTGAATCAGGGTGGGTTTTCAGAACAGGCAAAATCCAAGTTTAAAAATACACTACATTGTTAGTAGGGGTAAGTAGGTTACGAAATCCTTTTTGGGGTTTCTGTTACTGCTATATCGTGTTGGAAGATATGAAGGAATTGAGGGTAGATGGTACACTCCAAGGTGTGTGTTTTTGCATTACTAATTCAGCTGCTCGAGACACAAGATCAACCCTTAGAAAGATTGAGCCTTTCAAAACAACAACAAGAACAACGATCTTTTAAGAATGTATCGGCCCTTCTGTTGGTTCTCACAAAGTAACTCTATGAAATGCAAGTGTGAAGTGGAGAATTCCTGGCAGAAGGGACAGTGCTACAGGAAAATGCTATTTACTATGTCTTTGAGAGACTTACTAGGAATTGAGTGCAACTGTTCATGCTATGTGGGTCAACCAAATTTGTATCTTATTCGGCAGTGGATGGAGTGGAAAATGCTGTACAGTCCTCATGTATTGTTCTCTACATCTTAACTGGTGGACAGGTTAGAACTGAATGGTTAACATAGAGCATCCTGAATTTTTGAAGCCTAAATTTTCTCCCTCAACTTTAAGCCTAGATTTAAAAACTCCAAAATTCTGGATGTGTTGTTGCTTATGAACTTTGCCTTGCCATGAAGTAGTTCTACTTTCACGTATCCCAACTTGAAGGAGTACTGAAGAGCCAAACCACAGCATTTCACATGGCCCGGTCCCACCTTGTCCTCTCTCCTTTTGTGCATGTAGATGACCCGGCTACTGATTGATTATGGCTGTGAAGTGAATGCCCTCAGCACAACCGGAGAGTCAGCCTTGCACATTGCAGTGCAGCGTGGGCGCTTTGACTGCGCAATGGTGTTGCTGACACACGGAGCGATGCCCAATACCAAAAGGAAGGATGGCAACACGCCACTGCACCTTGCCATGAAGGTGGGCTTCTCCAGGTTAATGCTTTCCCAGGCCTGAGGGAACAGGGGAAATGAAATGGGCGTTTTCTTCCTAGAATATAGAGACTCTCGAGGAAACTCTTCTTGGCATTATTTTGATACAACAATCACTGTTCCTGCTAGAATGAAGACATTTGGTGCCCTAATTTATTTTTTATCTAGAATATTCTTTTAAAAGTTCATTTGTTTCCCCACCTCCCACTTATTAGCGATATCTGTCATCCCATACAAAGAGGCTAAAACCCCACCTCCCTGGCTATTTGAGTCTAATGAATAGATGGGCAAGTGTTGGTGTAGCTGTTGGATTGGGGGCAGATGATGGTTCAGCGCAGTAATCTGTGGGTGGAGGGAGCTCTGGTAACACCGCTTTTCTTGCCACACTCATTTCTTCCTAATAGATTGACCACCTGGAAATGATCAAGGCGCTTATTGTGTTTGGAGGAGATGTGGAAATCCCCAATGACTTAGGGGAGACATCAGGGTTGCTGGCAGCCAGGACAAGCAAAGGTGAGAGCAAGCCCCTGGATAAGAAAAGGGGCGTATGTGGCAGAGACCGAGTGGAAAGCAGTCCTTGGCCTACTCGCTTGAACTCTGCCGGCAGCATGGAATGAATCTTTTGATTGCTGAGGCCAAGTGCGAGGGTAGTTTGCTCTGCCCTGTGAAAGCTGCTGAGAGATGGAGTCTTAAAGACGTAGACAAGGTGCCAACTATGGGCCTGAGGTCTGAGATGCAGGCTCCCAGCACAACCTCAGTGGGTTGCCGAACTGCCCTCCATTGCCCCATTATGGGTGAGCACCTCCTCCCCAACATATTGTGAATGCAGACTCCAGCTCTGTGTACGGGACTGGGCTGACTCAGCTTACCATAGTGACCACCTGCTTTGTTTTAATGGTTTTCTTTCCAATGCATGAAACCCCATCACCATGTAAGGTGCCAACCGAAAAGTGCTCTTAAATCTGCTGAAAACTGTAGGGACTGATCGCTTCCACCCACCTGGCACAGCCACATCACCACCACCATCTACTTCTACATTTCCAGAAAGACTGCCATCACCGTGGAACACTAATCAAAACCTAGGTAACATACTACCTAGCGCTGTGCCTTCTTCTCTCCCCACCCTCTCTTCTCCCCCCCCTCACTCCTAGGACCACTTTGTATGGTAGGGTTTCCAACAAGGGAAGGAATTTACCTGTAAGAATTAACATACATCGTCTTCAGTATCAGCATCATGTTCTGATATTACACATGGTTCTTTTATGCCATAGGAATGTGCTGGGAAGCTGCAACCCTAATGGAACAATCTTCAAGTTCTCACTTAAGTTCCTTGGCTTTCTGCCTTCCGTCACTCACTTTCCTTCCACTTCTCCTTCATGTTGTTTGTTTTGTTTTGTTTGCTGTTATTTTCTAGAATACAGATTTGTAAGTGCCTGGGGGCAGCAGACAGGGCTGCTGGGGCCTTTGATAGCTGTGCACAAAGAGCCATTTCTGACAGGCTGAGCTTCTCCCTGTCACAAGTTGTGCCAGCATTAGAAAGGTGGGCCTGCTGCATTGTGTTCTTCTATGCAACAGTGAAAGCCACAAGAGCCTTGCCCTCTCTTGATCTTGCTGTTGATCTGTCATTCCTGTTTTCTCCTCTTTCTACAAACTAAACATTTGATTTCTTTATTTTCCCCTGTGCCCCTCTGTAGAATTCCATGACATAGTCCATATCTCTACAGCGCTGAGTACCTTGATGAAAAGAACCGATATGGTGGACTCTGCCACTGATGTGAACAGAACGTAAGTGAGCACAGCCAGTGAGATCAGTTCATCTAGTCTGGGCTCCTCTTGTTGATGTAGCAACAACTGTTTCATGGGGTGGATGCACTGAATTCCAGAGGGGAAAGCTCCTCTTCCTCCCCCTGCATCTCAAGCACATTCTTAAGGGTTTTTCCCATGTATATTCTCACCTGAATTATTCAGTGCATTTGACATTTATGTATCTCCAGGATGCACCTGTATTTGGGGAGAGTGACTTGAATGGCTGATGCAGGGCCTTAAATACCTTTCCTTCTCTTCTCTCTCTTTTTGTTTGCCTTTCTCTAGCCAAGACCGCCTCCTCAGCCTGGACGGAGGGGGTGTCCGGGGCTTGGTACTCATTCAGTTTCTCATTGCAATTGAAAAAGCTGCAGGGCGCCCCATCAGGGAGCTCTTTGACTGGATAGCAGGAACCAGCACTGGGGGAATCCTTGCAATGTGCATCGTGCATGGTAAGGAGTGACTGGAGCAGCCAGGTCTTTTGTGTGGAAGGGGATGTGTCCCAGTCTGGAGGAGCAATGTTTGTTGGATTGAGAGAGACAGTAGAAGAATTGGAATTTCCCTTTAGGCTTGTGTTTGGCCATAAATATTCTTCTTTCCAGCTCTGGGAGAAATGGCCCTTGCTTAATGCAACTCTCCTCAACTTTATACCCTCCAGGTGTGTTTTTAGCTAGTCAGAAGTCTGGATAATTCCAGATGTCAGGAGTTAGCTGTTTCCAGGAAATGAGGGTCTAGAGGTATGCTGAGTTTTTAGTAGGTGATGTTTACACATTTTCAGTGGTTTTCCTTTGGTTGAGAGCTCATAAACTACTTTTAAAAAAATAAGAGCTGAGGATTTCTTGGGCAAAACTTGCAATTTTGTGTAAAGCTTTCATGCCATCTTGTGGTAGAATGGAGTGTTACACTTATATAGATTGGCTTCAGACAGCACAATTGTTGTTGGAACAGCAGTTACTGTGTTGTTATACTTACTAACAGCCCCTGAAGAGAAACCAAGGTCTGTTGTTCAGCTGTAAACTGTGGGTTGTTTATGGTTAACGATCCATGGCTTGTTGTGACTGGATTCTGACAACACAATAACCGGTGCTTGAAAACTGACCCTCACTGAACCCATACTCAGCCCTTAACCCACACTCAAATAACATAATCCACAGTTATGTTAGCTGGACCTACTTGATGTGTTCTGTCTTGTTCTCCCCAACGCAGCTTCTCTAGCCACCAGGTACAGATTGTGGACTCATCTGCTCATCCATTGAGCACATACAGTCCCCGGCCACTTTCCTTTCTATGAAGCTGCCATCTCAAATCAAAGAGATAGTCCTTTGAACCCAGAGACTGGCAAACATTTGGAATTCTCCCCAGATTTGTGCAGCCTTTTCCCCATTCTAAAAGGTTGAAGTGCCTTTCCTAAGGCTTAAATGTTTGGCCATAAAAGCATTAGGGCAAAATATGTTGGTATTGTAGCCCTTTTCCTTTGAACTTGCTTCATTTTGCCTTCAGCCCCCTCTACTGCTGGACTGTGGCCCCCAAGAACTACTTTGAAATTGAACATGCAGAAAAAGGCTTGACACTGTGAGTTAGCCCAATACTTTCTGTTCTGGCTGGTAGCAGCTCTCCAAGGTAGCCAGTGGGTCTTTTCTAGCCTTGCTACTCAACAAGAAATGGCTGGGATGGGGCCTGAGACTTTTCACATCCAAGGCATGCTCTGTATACTAAGCTATGTGACCTCTGCTCATGTTTTCTTCCAGAACGTCTCATGCTTTCAGGGATATCTGTTGCATTTCTGCTTCTTATGCTCCCCTGCTCCCAATAGTCTTGAGTCATCCCTTATACTCACTTTCACTTTTCTGATCAGCCAGCCACAGGATGTAGGTCACAGTGGCACTTGCTGCATGGTTTTAGATCCTCAAATGCCCTTTGAGCATTATTGGGGGCTGAGGAGGAAGCAGCCTTCTCTGGGATCCAGCGCTCCCCTCCTGGATTCAGCTAATGTTCTGCCTGCATTTCAGGAAAGCCCATGGACTACATGCGCTGTTTGTATTTCCGCATGAAGGATGAGGTCTTTCGGGGGTCACGTCCTTATGAGTCAGAGCCCCTTGAGGATTTCTTGAAGAAGGAGTTTGGAGAACATACCAAGATGACAGATATCAAGAAACCCAAGTAAGCCAAAATGAGAGTGCACTGGCTGAGTAATTGCACAATTTCTTCCTGGTCTTCTGTCCCTGCCTTTTAGGATTTTTCATGGCAAGGCGATTTAGTTTTGCTTGAGTGATAGTAGCTGGAAGGGAGAGATGATGAATATCTCTAGGAATACCAGACTAAGGGATGGCCTGAAAGTTTGTAGCACAGTAGCTTTATTGAACTGAAGCAGGTTCGGGATCTTGTCAGTGCCCCGTGGGAGGCTACCAGGGAATGCTATGCACGTCCCCCTGAGATCCATGGAAAGAAAGTGGGATATAAATAACCAGATGTGCTTAAAGCACACAACTGACAAATTACAATACTCCAATATGTATGTATACTTCTCTTATAAAGTATATGTATCTCATATAGGATCTGAACAAAAGTGCTTGAAGGCTAATTGATACTCTATCCCAAAAGAGATCCAGCCACGCCTAAGGGCTAGTAGACAGTGTGTCCCAGCAAGGGAGGGTTTGTAGCCCTGGGGTGGAGCACATGCTTTGCATACAAAACATCCCAAGTAGAGGTGGAAGCACTTCTGCCTGAAATCACAAAGAGCTGTTGCCAGTCAGCGTGGGCATTGCTTGGACTAGTTGTACCACATGGTTTGAGTTAGTATGCAACTCCTATTTTCCTGTGATCCAAAACCTAAATTTCATGCCTGTGGCGTAGGAACAGAAGGCATTGAACTCAGTTCTGCAGGCATTAGGTAACACCCCATTCTGATGGACTGCCTCAGGTGCTGCTGTGGATGATGGAAGGTTTTTTCCTTATGCACTATTCTTTCAACTCTTGCAGGAGAAGCATCCATCTAAAATATTGTCTGAGTAGCACTCGGACCAGAGTCTCCTGTAAACAGCTTTCTCAGCAGTTACTACCTGGCTTCCTTCAGGTGGCATGGGCAAGGATTGCCCCTGACATCTTCTGCAGGCAAAGTGTGCGCATTGCCATTGGGCTATGGGCCAGTCAATGTGAAATCTTGTTCATCTGGATTTCTTACAGGGTCATGTTGACGGCAACTCTATGTGACCGGCATCCTGCTGAGCTCCACCTCTTCCGGAATTATACTCCACCAGAAGGGAGATGCAGGTCCCATTTCAAGTCAACAAGCACATTCCAAGCACTGACCAAGCCAGAGGGTAAATGTTCACTCACACAGCATTCCAAGTACTTCAGTTGCTCAAATGAAGGAAGCCCGTAGTGAAGGGGATATTTCCTCTCGCTTCCCCAGTTTGCCATTGTAAACGTGGCACAAGCTGTACTGAGCATAAATGAGTTCTGAATGTGTCAGAAGTAGTATATGCCACTTCTGGATCACAAGGTGGGGCACATCACTTTCTTGTGTGCCTACACCAATATATAAAGGCTTGTGCTAATAAGAGATGTGGAAATCAGCAAAATCCAAATTTATTGGGATTGTCCTCATTCCATCTTGAAACCTCATCCAACTCATGTCTGTATCAGTTGTATTTTTTTCCCTTTGCACATGAAAGTCCTGTAGTATTTGGGTACATACTTAGGTGTAGTTTGAAAAGTACACAGTCTTTTTCTGTTGATTAAAGTGTGTTTGAGTCTATTTTTTTTTAACAAAGGTGCATGTTTCTAATTACATTTTAAATACATTTTGGGTTTTCCTTCCTACCTTACCCTGTGAATAGGACTGGAATGTATGAGCATTGACTGTAGATTGCACTTATTTTCACAAAAGAGTTAAATTCTGATCAAATGAATGTAAATATAATTTTCACAAATCAGATTGTGTATATAATAGTGTACATATTTTCCCACTACATGAAGATGATTTCTGTCTAGGAAACACATGGAACTGCCATAAGACCTGAAATTTTAGTAGTGGCCCGTGTTACTTGGTACTAACAAAAATAAAGTTGTGTGTTCCATCCAAGATATTCCTTGTCTTCAAAGGTTTTCATGGTGCTATTTACATAAAGAGTTCTTTCCCACTGTGTTGTGGCAATGTGAAAAAGAGCCACTTGCCCATTTTGTTTGTGAGGTTGTATTCACTCATCAGTGTATCTCAGAGGTGCAGAACCTTGAACCCTGAGGCCAAATATGGCCCTCCAGAGCTTCCCATATTATTTATTTTTATTCCTTATAGTTATATCCTGACTCTTGTCCTGTAAGGAACACAGGGTTGCTTAATAGTTCTTCTCCTCTCATTTTGTCCTTACAAAACCCCTATGTGAAAGGTCAGGCCGAGCATCAATGACTGGTCCACATTCCCAATATGCTTCTTGGTCAGGTGGAGACCCAAAATCTGGATCTTCTGACACCCAGTCCAATACTGTACAATGTTGCACTAGCTTTAATACAACAAATGACCATGCACCTTTTTCCTCCAACTGTGTGGTGCATTCCTGGCTTTTGGGCAGTTTTTCCCCTCATTTCTGAAAAGTCATCTTCAGTTTGTAGTAGCAAGCTTGAGGGTAAACTTACTGATCTACTTTATATATGCATGCTTAAGGGGCAATAGAGGACTTATGCTAATATATGGCTAGATCTGCTTCGCTGGAGATGCTGACTAAGACATGACCTTTTTTTCCCCTCCCCACAGATCAGCTGGTGTGGCAGGCTGCCCGCTCCAGTGGAGCTGCTCCGACATATTTTCGGCCTATTGGACGGTTTCTGGATGGAGGGCTACTGGCCAACAACCCCACCTTGGATGCACTGACAGAGATCAATGACTACAATAAGTCCTTAATCCAGAATGTATGGGCACACCTTGTGGACTTCTTTGTTAAAGTGGCACTCCAACTGTAGTTCTTATCATTTTGCAGTTGTTGGGTGTGACGCCCAGTTCTGTAGACAAAGGAGGATGTTGTTCTTATCCTGCTTTTCTGCTAAAAGTATCCAGAATAGTGTATAACATAATCATGCATTTATTGCATGCAATCAGTAAAAAGTACAAATATGACAACCAGTGCATAATAACATAACACGACCAATACTTTTAATGTGCAATTCCAAGTTTTATTGCTGCCAGTCTTAATGTGAGACGTCTTTCATACTTCCTACTCTTAAGTGTTATGTTTTTTGTTTTAAAACAAGCAAAAATAGATCTAACGGTGAGAAGGATAAAAAGTGTCAACATGGCCATAAAACTGTGTCTTACAACCCTTGCACGATAAATGTTCAGTTTCTGGCGAAAGAGACACAAGGAGGGAGCCTAACACATTTAACTGAAGAGCATTCCAGAATCACAGCAGCACTGCAGCAAAGACCCTGCCCTGTGTGCTTGTTCACTTGCTGAACCTTTCAAGATGGCCCTACAGCAAGGCCTCTGATATTAGTGATAATTCCTGACTGGTTCATAGTTTTTAGGCCCTGGTCCTAATTTTGAATTTGAACTAGAGACAAAATGCCAGTGAAGTTGTCATATGTGCTGATGTTTGTGTACAAGACAAAGGTCTGGCTACTGCAATTTAGGCCAACTGCAATTTGTGGTCTGTTTTCAAAAGCAGCTGGACATAGACTGCTTTGCAATAATCAGGTCTGGAAGTAACTGAAGTATGGATGTCCGAAGGCACAGCTGGTGTATGAGCAACTGCCACCACATGTAATAATAGATTGAGGAGGTTTACTCAGAAGTGTGTCCCACAAAATTCAGTGAAGCTTGCTTTTTAGTAAGCAAATAAATAGCACTGTAGAAACTAGCAGACATTATTACTGCATAGCAAAATATATTTCAGCCCAGCCTTTCTTGACCTGGTTCTCTCCACACGTCTTGGAGTGTAAGTCCTAGAATGGATCCTCAGTTGCAATCCAACACGCTAGACTGGGGAAGGCTAGTCTAACCTGTGCAACTCAGGTCACAACAAATGGCTTAGGCTTCAAGGTACTACAGGACTGTGTCGTTTTTGTTGACATGTAAATTGGTTCTTAACAGTTACCTTCTGTTCAAGGCACTGTGCACACTATAGTCTGTGTGCCTTTTCTGACGTCTAGGAAGATACTGTCCAATTAGTACACAAAAAATCCAGTTCATGAGTACAGTGTAGGATTCAAGCACAAACTGAGAGGTTGGAAGGGCGTTAGTGGTTTACCCAGTTTGTCTTCTCCATGGATTATGATAGCCTGGGAACAGAGCAGGGGCTGCGGCTCAGTGGTAGAGCACATGCTTTGCTTGCAGAAGGTCCCAGTGTTACTCTCTAGCATCTCAGGTTTGGTTGGGAAAGAGTCCTACCTGGAACCCTGGAGAGCTGATTCTAGGCAATGTCAGTCCCGCACTAGATGGACCAAGGGTCTGATGCAGTATAAGGCAGTTTCCTGTGTTCCTAGTCGTAATAAGTTTAAGCTCATTTTTCTTCCTGCAAGGTATGAAGAATAGGTTCAGCCATATTAACAGGTGTCTGTTTTTTTGGCTTTCCAGGGACAGGGCCACAAAGTGAAGAGGTTGGGAGTTGTGGTCTCTCTCGGGACTGGCAAGGCTCCACAGGTTCCTGTGAGCTCAGTGGATGTCTTTCGCCCCTCTAACCCTTGGGAACTGGCCAAGACAGTTTATGGAGCTAAAGAACTGGGCAAGTTGGTGGTAGACTGCGTAAGTATTGGATGGAGAAAGGATGGGTTGGCGATATGGAGCTCTTACTATTAGTTGATGCTTTTCCTTTTTGTAGATAAAGGGATTGTTGCTGAGAGCTAGCCCTATATTAACAAAGCGGGTTTCCCATCAAATGACCTAGTGTCAGGGTCCTCAGAGTGAGAAGTGGATCTCCCTAAGGTGGTACAGAGAGATGCCAAGAGAGTTACATGTTCCAGCATACCCTTCCCCTGAGATGGCCTGGCCAGCAAACTTAAAGATAACCCAAAGAATTGGTAAGAATGAGACCCCACCTCTGGTTTAAGGAGGGACACTGTAAAATCGGGTGTTAAAATTTTGTTGCTGCCATCTATCCTCACACTAGTGAGCCGGTTCTGTTAATTTAACCATTGAGGACAATGTACTGTATTTTATTAATTCTTTTGGCCAATCTCCATTTAACAGCTGTGACTAGTAGCTATTAAACATTTCCTATCAATTCCAGGTGTTCTTTTCCTACAACACCATTAAGCCACCCAGGCAATATGTCCATAAGGTTTCTAGGTATAGTCAATTTGTTCATTTTGTTAAAATGGCCTATAAATTTTCCTTAGAATTTTCTGATTTTTAAAATTTCTTTTACTTTTTACAAGTTTACCATGTGTGCAGGAAGCATTTCCAACAACCTCTTTTAATATAGGGCAATGTCCTTTCTATTCTTTCTGCTGTTATATGCCTACCACCTGGCACTTTTTAGAAATATTAATGCATAGGACCATTTTAGGCCTGCAAACATTTCTTGTTAACAAAATGTATGCTTTCAAGCAACCAGTTATAGTCCTTACCATCAGACTGGTCATTGTTTTATGTTTCAGAGCTAATGAGTTAGCAGAAGTGTTACTACTTTGAAAGAACTTCCCTGTTCCAAGCCATGTATATGCAAAACCTGTTTATGAGCCTTAAGGCTTGTAGTACTGAGAACTTGCTTCATGCGACTGATGTTTCTTTACAGTGCACTGATCCAGATGGCCCCTGTGTTGACCGTGCAAGGGCCTGGTGTGAGATGATTGAGGCTCCTTATTTCAGGTATATAACTTATTTAGCATAATATAATGTGTAATTGCAAGGGGAAGGATTTGAAGCCTTGAATATCTGGTTCTCCAAGCATGCATCTCTGCCTTACTTAAACCAGGAATGTTAGCCACTAGTTAAATAAATAAAATGTATTGTAGTCTCTGCCTTTATTTGATTCATATGCAACCCCACTAGCCATAGGCTTTCTGCGTGGCTGACATCATTAAAATCCATGCAACAAAACAATACAAAACACATAACAATTTTATCTGCTATAAAAGGTATTACTGATTTCTAAACCATTTGTCTGTTTTAAAATCTTTGCTAAGTCTTATACTCATGGCACTTACATGAGTCAGCTTAAACTGAGAGAACATGACAGGATTATCCAGTGTCTAGGCTTTAGCATGAAGGAGGAGTCAAAAGTTAGCCTGAAGACAAATGGTAGGAGGAAACAAATCTGTGAGACCAGGCATTACAGGGTTGGAGTAGGTGGGGCTTGAGTGAGCTAGCAGCCCAGTCCGTATTGTGGATGCTGAAAGCCCATTGACCTCTCCTGTTGCTTGAAAAAATGCTAAGTCAGGCTGGGCATGTCAAGTCAGATGTTGCAGTGTCTCTTCCTGGCCGGTTCTTTTGGTGGTGCCTGAAAGTAGAGGCTGGGAAGCATAAAGCATCAAGCCAAATGCAGAGGTGGAGCAAGGAGTAAAGTGGTCACCTGTGCTTTGGGCACCTGGAATTGAGTCTTCCCTATCTCCTCCACTGCATCACCATGGTCACACTTGTTTGGTTTTCTCTGTGCTTCTTATCTGTCTCTCTCCTTTTGGAGGCCATTTTTGGCCTACTTTCTCATGTCCAGTTGCTGTGCATGTGCATGTGCATTCCCATTTCCTAACACTTTGATGGCATCCGCAGGTTCAACCCCCCTTTGGCAGCGGACATAATGCTGGATGAGGTGAGCGATGCGATCCTGGTGAACCTGCTGTGGGACACTCAGCTCTACATTTACCAGCACTGGGACAAATTTGAGCAGCTGGTAGAGCAACTCCTAAATCCATGATGCTTTCCAAGATTCCAGGGTGTCAGTGATGCCTCTCTAAATAGTGATTTGGAATACCAACAAGGGCAAAGCAGGTTTTGTTGGCTTATGGCTTGCCCCTTGCCCCTTCTCTTCATCCCAAGAAACCAAATGGATGTTTTGGGGAATATACTCTGTGGAATGTCTTTCAACTCCCACAATTTTTGTACGTGGAGCTGCTGCTTTTTCTCCCGTATGCCAACAACAACAACCTTATGACTTGAGGATTTCCTAACATTTCCTGAGCAGTTTAGAGTTGGACAATCCTTGGTCCTTCGTGGCAAGTAAGGCCAGAATCTGATACATTGGTTCACTACTGCACTTTGCTGTCCCGAATTTCACATGAGTCATTAAGAATAATGTTTAATTGCTTGTTTTTTCATGTTTGCAAGTCGGATTCTTTGTTTCTGCTGTGTGGGAGCTAGAGTCCCTCATTTTCCTGCATGGGGGGAAAGAGTTAGTCTCCAACAATTTGTGTTCAGTGGAACGGTTATAATCTTTGCGAGTTATCAGCAGAAGGTTGGGATCCTTTGGTCACTGTAGCCAGTAGTTCTTCAGCAATGCATTTCTTCTGTACCCTTTCCCATTATTTCAGATTTCCTCTTTCAGGCTCCTGCCACCTCTGAAGGAGCCCATTCTGAGTTGAGTGACATTGAAGAGTGCAGGAAGAAAAGTGAAATAGACACATTATAGTCATATTTGACCGTTGGTAGATGTAGAAGACTTCCTGCCTCCTTATCCTAACACATTTCTTTATATGGACGATGTAGGCTTGAGTGCAGATTAACCCAAGCTAATGAGGAAATCTCCTACTGGCAGAGTCAGTGGTCAGGCTCATACTTTAGAGGACAATTTTCTTTCTGCTTTCCCATAAATTTGTTTCTTTAGTTGATTTTTTCCCCCTATCAATGGTACTGCCTTTTATTCTCAAAGGCAAGAATTTAAAGTGCTGCTGTTAATGCAATTTATTGTTGCTGCATTTAAACTAACTTAATTTTAATTGAATGTACTTTCTGATGAATGGTATTTTGCACCTGCCTAATACTTTTGTGAATCATTCCTAGTTTGGGGTGATATTACAGGCTGCTTTATTTTCGCAAAACTGACTCAGAATTCAATAAAAGGAGGGTTATCTGAAACCTGACTGCACTTGAGTTAATAATGGCTCAAATGGGAGGCACGTGTCACCGCTGAGAGTGGGACAAGCTTCTCCCTGTGGTAATTCCGTCTTGTGTCTCCAACAGTGGGCAAGGTTTTCCCTTGGTTTTAAAGCAAATGTTCTTGATGTAGAAAAGTAATGGCTGAATAACATATCTGTGTAGTAAAATATAGTGACCATCGATGGGAATGGTTTGTTTGAGTATACAGCAAGTAAGCATTTAGTTAAAAATGGGGCACAGTAATGGAGCTGGTTAGGGATACATATCTAAATGACTTGAGATACAATACTGAAATGAAAGCAAAGTCTAAAATTCCAAGCTTGACACTAATTTTGCGGTTTGCTTTTGATACATTCAGATTGTTCCTTTGAACATTAAATGAAATAAAAGTTCTCACATATGCATAGTCTTTAAAGCAGATTTTTCTACAGAAAATTCGTGATTCATTAGTACATGGTGACTGCACACACATGCACATACACCACAGTGTAATACAGACGTGTTGTACCTAAGCCCCCGATGCATGCTTGACATTGGTGGGGTTCCTCAATGTGAACAGTTTTCACTTTCTTTGGTTACACCCTAGCAAATGCAAATATATGAATTGTGCCATCCTGGATAAGCACCTTCACCAGATGCTGCTATCATGGGAATTACTGCTGGGCGTATCTGTAATCACTTGTTCATGTTTCCTTTGCCTTGTTTTCTGTACTTTTGGTAAATTGAGATTGAATCCTGGAACACCCTCACAACAAAGGGAAAGGTGTGGCAAAGAGGACAATGGCATTGCTGTCGAAGTTTTTACCTTATTTGGAATTCTCAAGGGCTCAGGTGATAGAACCACATCAAGATCAGGACTTGTATGGATGAAAAGGTCAAAGAAGACAGCTCTAGTTTGGTTGGTCCTGGCACATTCTATGTTCTACAGCGAGCAGGTGATACTCAACCATTATCTCAAGCCATTATCAAAATCAAGAGGAAGCCAGCTTGATGATTTTGCAGAGCTAAACATGGAGCTATATATCGAAACTAGCAATAAATAATTAAGGGCAAAGTCACATGACACTCATGGCTATCACAGGATTCCTCCCTAACTGGTATCAGGTTACACCTAAAGATCAAGTTCTAACATCCTGGCTGGTAAATTATTAAACCCACTCACAGCATTTTCTCCCCTTCAGTGCAAGTGTGCATCTTTGCTGTATCCTTCGGTTCTAGGAAGGAATCTTCTGTCCTAGCTAGAGTCGTACTGGATTCCTAGGTGTTTCTGAGGACTGACTATTCTAGATATCTCTATTCCTGAGGAAGGGACTTGGATCCTCCTAAAACAGTTGGGGGTATGGAGAAATCCTACAGATCTACACTCTCTATCTATAAGGTGAGACTTGGTTCCCTTTGTACATTTTCTGGAATGAAAGAGTCAGTCTTGATTGGTTGCAGAAAATGTGGACGAGAAGACTTTTAATAAAGGATTACACAGAAATAAGGAGTCAGAGAGCAATTAATGGTACAAGATCAATGGGGCAATCTGATTCTTAAAATCTATGCTCCTCAGACAGCATATATTTAGTGGGGCATAGCTTTTTAAATGCAGAACAGACTGCTGCAATCTTCATTTCTATTGCAATGCATGTGGCAGTTACAGTGATTGAAGATTTTAATCCTGTGACTTTTGATCTGGCTCAAGGACAGGCTCAGTAGCACTGAGATGGCTGACATGTGAAGCATTTTGGCCTGGTTCACTCATAACACTTGGCCCATAGTATTGCATGGTGAATTCCAGGTTGTTTGGATATGTGTGCTTTCAAATCATGGTTTGTAACCAGGAACAACCGATAAAGTAAACTGAAGATTTGCTGTGGATTTGTGAGCATGCGCCCAGAATATGGTTTGTTTATGGGCTGATTTGCTACAGAGGTGGCAGGCAGGAGTGGTAGGGAAAAACATAGCCAGTCTAAATGGCAGTATGACAGTGCCCAGTATAAATAACTGTTGTTTAAAATGTGAACCAGTTCTCAGTCCTTTACAGCAGGAGAGGCAGAATGTCTTATCCTGCTTTTTAATATGTAGTTTTTTTAAATTGCAAGGCCCACATGAGGTTATTTCAGTGAATCCTCTTCCAGTAAGAACCTTCCAGGGGAATTGGCTCCAGATTTGGGTAGCTTTGCAGGTTCTTCAAGCTTAAAAAATATTAGTAGATGGGAAAGGGTAGCAACCAAGTGGGGTGGAGGATAAATTAGTATTGTCTGGAAAGGAGCTAGTTTTGATTTAGTTGGGAGTGCAATAAGCATATGTTTCCATTCTTTGCATTTCTGTGAAGGTTGAAGGTATTTGCAAATATGACACTTACTTGGCCTAGCTGAGCTGAAACAGACCATAAGCTAGTTATTTTCAGTTTAAAAGTGATTAATTCATCATACAGAATGCAGAGTAAGCTACTTATGGCTTTAAAGCTGTAAGAACTTGACTTGGTCTGTAGTAAAAATGCTAAGGGTGCAGGCTTATCTATACTTACCTGAGGAGTAAGCTCTGCTGAACCCTGCAAAGTTTACCTCTGAGCAAACATACATAAGGTTACTCTGTTGGATGGGTTAGAAAGAATGTTAGGGAATTTATTTAGTTAAAATTAATTAGTTAATGCCATTTAACCGTGGCAAAGTCATCTTTGCAATGTCTGTGTGGGTGGTGGTGGGGTTGAAATCAATCCCTGAAGAGACATGTTAGGGATGCAATATTCCTAGACCTTCAGCTGGTGTGCCAACTGGGTTTTGTGTGCGCTATGTTGATCTACTCAATTTGACTACAAGGCCCAGGGGGTCAGTGCTACTTAAGGATACTGTTTAACTTGACCCTTTTTGTTACATCATGAAAAATAAGCAAATTACTTAGCAACAGAAAACCAATGGTGATTTGGCCTACTCTAGTTAATATTCTGGCAAAGTTGGGAGAAATTTTCTCAGAGGAAAGGCCCAAATGGAAGATTCCACTAGGAAACAGCAAGAAAGGGCCTTTCTGCATGATTATGTGGATGGGAGGGGTATACCGTACATGCACAAGTATGATCCAAGCACCCTTCTGAGGATTGTGCATTTGTAGTGTTATTTAACATTTCCTGTTCTATGATTGGGAAATAAATGGCCTGAGGTATCTTGGTGGTACAGCAACCAAAATTACTGCCCTCCATCATGCTAATAATTGACAATTGGCTGCCCCTTTTGAAGACATCCAAAAATCTTGTCCCCCCGAGGCTGATTGGTGAAAAATAGGCCTTGCTCTGCTGGGGAAGAGGCAGTAACTATTTCCAGGAAGTGAATCTGTTGCTACTGTAATCGGCATGTGAAGCAATGCCGAGCAAATGTCTCCAAAGTGATTGGACATGCTTATGACAGAAACAGTGACAAAGCAAAGTATCACCACTCCTTTGCCCTTTAGTTCTCTCTCTTGAGTAACAATCCTATATTCACTTAACTGGGAGTCAATTCTGCTGAACCCAGTGTGGCATCTTTCTGAAGAGACACTCATAAGAATGCACTCCACCTCCTACCTTTTTTAAAGTTCATCAGTGGTGGTAAACTTGTATTGAGGTGCAGCACAATATTTTGTATGAAGAAGGGAAAATCCAAGCTGCAGGATAATTTGGACTCTTCTGAGAGTTCTGCTGCTGTATCCAACGCTTCTGGATTACATTGACCAGGCTACGGGCTTCTTTTGTGCAGCATTCTTTTAGATACTTGAGGACTATTTTCCCCCACATCTTCTCAAGGCTAAATGTACCCAATTCCTTTAGGTGGTGGTGATCGGACATTTTCTAGGCCCCTAAAGGACTCACTGGAGAAGACCCTAATGCTGGGAACAATTGATGGCAAAAGAGGAAGGGAATGGCAGAGAATGAGGTGGCTACGAGTAGATGGGAGTCACTGAAGCAGTCGGTGCGAGCTTAAGTGGACTCCAGGGAATGGTGGAGGACAGGAAGGCTTGGAGGAATGTTGTCCATGGGGTCGCGATGGGACAGACATGACTTTGCAACTATCAACAACAACAATCTTGGTTGCCAATTTCTGAATGCGATCCAGTTTAGCCAGATCCTTCCTAAAGAGTGATATCCAGAACTGAACACAGTATTTGAAGTGAGGTCTGATCAGTGCAAAGCAGAGTGGAATTTTAATCTTCCCTAAAGTTACAACCTCTCAGCTCATATTAATATGCTCTATGTGTTTCTTTTTTAATCCTTCCCTCACCTGAATGCACAACAGAGAATCCTGGAACAGTTTAACCCAGCACTGGAGAAACTGGTGTACCTAGGTGCCAAGTACATGCAGGCCTTCCATGGTGAGTGAAGCATTAGCTGACTGTCTGGGCAGGTTTGTATATATCAAGAAACCACCATCGGGAAATTGCTTCTTGTTGCCAAGGCAGCTGCCATGTTGAAAGTTTGAGCTACACATGGGTGTGCTGTAGTTTGTCAGTATATGCAAACCCAGCAAGGGTAGGTTGTTGGGTTGTTTGACAAGTCACTCACAAACATAAAACAGCCCTTGGATTCTGGGTAGCTTGTGAAGCACCCCATCAATCCATCCTTGCCAGGTTCATATGTAACAACAAACTGTGGTGTAGCCCTAATGCATCTTGAATAGTCAAAATAGCAGCTACCGCAGCAAGGAAAAGCCCATGGGAAATTGCCCCATGGGGGTTTTTCATTAGATGTGAACCCAATCTTTACATATTGGTTCAAGGCAACATTTCTGAACCTGGTCTATTGGATGTACATGAGCTGGGGTGTGGATATGTGATTGTTCCTGTTTCTGAGCACTTCCAGTGCTCATGAGCATAGGAGAATATCCACACAGCGATGTATGTGTGTAGGTATGTAGCCTGTGATTCACACCTTTGTGTGTAGGGTCTTCTGCTCTGCATGTGGACAACATAGGTGCTGAGGTTGTGGGGCCAGCAAGCATGACTGTGCTCCCTCCCCTTCAGTGTGTATTTCTTTATAAGATACACAAACCACTCTACATCAAATAAAATCCCTGAGTTGTGAATAAAATAAAAATACATAATTGAAAGCATATACAAATAAAACAATGGCTATTTACCTGAGGAAGCCTTGCTTAAATAAAAGCACTGAAAATGTAGCAACACCAATGTCGGCTTGATTCTGGAGAGAGAGAGAGCGTGCGTGCAAATTCAATGAAGGCTCTGGTCTGAGTGGTCCCCAAATGGGACAGCAAGTTGATACAGACATACCCAAAGCACCTGATCCAATGGTCTTACTGACTGGGCAGGTTGATAATGGAGAAGAGACTCTCTCAAACAACCTGGCTGCAAGTTGTTTACAGTTTTATACACTAAAAACAAAACCCTAAATGTGGCCCAGTAGCAAATGGGCAACTAACTAATGCGGTTCCTTCAGCAAAAGTTTAATGCTGAAAGAGGGGGTAGCTTTTGACAATAGCCAAACTAGCTCCTGGACTAGCCTCAAGAGTAGACCAGGATGTAGTAATCCAGATAACTAATTCACTGTAACACTGTGGCCGATCTATCCGTCTAGGAAGGGTGATAGATGAAGTCTCAGTTCAAGTTGGTAGAAGGCATGCTGAATTGCAGTGGTCTCCTGGGCCTCCAGCAGTAGAGGTGGATCCAGGAGAGTCTCTAGACTATGAACCCAATCTTTCAGAAGGCATATTGCCATCCAGCAAAGGCAATAAGCCTATGCGACCCCTCACTCACAGGGCCTCTTGCCAGGATTCAATCTCAGTTTAGGCACTTGCGTAGTCTGAATCTCCTGATTCAAATCTCATAGAAAGGCAGCACTTTGTGTCATCAACATACTGATGGCACTTTGCTCCAAATCCCCTAATGACTATTCCCAGCAGCTCTAAGCTTAAGTTCAGGGAGAAGAATGTAACGTCCAGAGCCCCATAGTTCTATTGCCAAGGAATAAGTCATGTAGTAGTGTTACTCTTTGAAACTGACCCTGCTGGTAGGACCAGAACCTGTAACACTGTGCCTCCAATGGCCAACCCTGGTGCATGGTAACAAAAGGTGATGAGTGATTGAGCATAAACAACAGGATTATACTCTCTCTTTTCCTCTCGATAAATGTCATCCATACGGTTGATTGAAACTGATTCAGCCTGTAACCAGGTCCATACGTGTATTGAGATTGGTTTAGATCTTCAGGAGTCCTTGCAGTTGCTTTACCACAATCTTCTCAGGTACCTTCCCCATGTAAATGTCTGTATGTGTGTCCTACTTTACAGAGAATAGCCCTCTAAGTCTAGTTTAAAGATGGAGAACTACAAGAAGGGAAAGCTGGCAGTGGCCTTGGAGTTGCCTGTCAGCGGCTGAAACATTTGGACAGCAGACAGAGCCTGGTTACCATTTCCCCTGCCGTGTTGAAATGTATTTCTATTTAAAACCAATTATTTCATACTTTGTCTCTGTGCATATCAATTGGCAAATCCATGTCATCCTTTGGTCAACTAAATGCTTTGTCACAATTTAGGATAATGTTTAAACAGTTGCTTTAAAC